CTAATTTTTCTAAATTATATATATTAAATTAAATTAAAACTTGTGTTGGGATATCCATCCTAGCAACCAACAACTTCACAACTCCCAACTTTTTAATGCCAACATGGAGTCTGTTAGATACACCTTCATCTACTCTTGCAATTTATTTAAATTTTTTACAAAATTATATACATATTGCAAAAGCTAATCTTCTAGTGGCAATGCCGAGAAGATGCAGGTACGCCTTTACAATATTATTTAATTTTTGTCATTTTACTTTTTGGAAAAATAACAACTGCTTGGGTGCGTACTTTACTTTATTTGCAAAATCAAAATAACTTTTCAAAAATTAACCAACATTTTCAAAACCTAAAATAAATTGTTTCAAAGGTAACCATAAATCCTTTAAAATTTCACAAAATTTAAAATGTCCTTTCGAATTTACGGAAGTTTCTCGAAGGAAAGTCCCTCAGAGGAGGTAACCCACGATTGCTAACCAGATCTCCCTGGCTTAAATGAGTTTCTTAACTTATTTAAGCTAAGAAAATTTAAAAGAAAATAGTGATATAGAAACGAGAGAACTATGGGATCCCAACTGGTATCGCTCTAATCAACTTTAACATTCACCATGATATTTAAATAACCATAACCTTAGAAAACACTTGATTTGACATCAGGACTTGATACATTGTTGACACATTAGAAAACTTAAACTTATCACGACAAGGAGCTTGGAGCTAGCATTGTGAGCAACAGCTGGCATTGTGGGCAACACGACCATCTTCAATAGCAAAACATGTCTACACGAGCTAAACCATTCATTAGAATTAAATAACTAAGTCATAGGATTTCGAGGTTGTCTGCCTAGTGCACCTAAATCATCACCTTATATTTAGGCCTTTGTATAACTTTTTTGTACCCTACTATAAAATATAAGCTCGAACCTATTTTAGGATTCTGAGGTTGTCGTTCGTCACGACCTAAATCCTCACACCTTCAAGGCTATTTGTGTGATCATCTCACACGAATGTAAGTTAAATAAATAAAAATGGCCAATAAAACTGACAGGATCAAATATTTAAATAATTATTCTTGAAACTAAAGTAAAATAGTAGGATAGCTTAGGAAGTCATCGATGTCCTCCTCAGAATCCATGACATCTCCTAGTTCTTCTTCCTTTAGATTCCAAAAAATAAATGTTCCATATTTGAGCCATTCTCATTTCACACTTCTTTGTCCGATCTTTTGAAAAGTCTTGTCCTTCAAAATTCTTGAAGTCAATATCCCCAAATTTTTATCAAGAGTTTTCTTAGGTGACTTTTGTTATCTAAGATGTAATTAACTACAAGGGCTTGCCTTATAGAAAAATTTATTTTTTCGCAGACTTAAACGAATTTCATAGATTCTTTAGCTTATTTAATCGAGTCTTACCAATAAGTATCGTATTTATCCTTTAGAATAGATGCATTGCTTGCAGGATTAGACTCGTTTATTTAAATGATTGAGGATATGAGATCAGTCCGGTCTTGTATTTTCAAAATTTTAAAATAATACTTTTTTCAAAATTATATATAAAACCGTTTTAGTGCCGATAAAGGGGAAAGATCTTTACATATTATCCAAACTCGTTAGAATTAATTTTATAAAACTGTTAATTATTATTGATTCTATCTGCTTTAATTTAGTCTTAACTGTTGCTATCATTTCATGTTCATTTGAATTTGCAATTTAAATAGATTTTGCTTTCGAGTTTAGCAAACGAATTTAAATAGTTCAACTGTTCTCGTGGGATCGATATTAAGGTTTTTTAAGAAAATTCTATATTACTTGAAACAATACGTATGCTTGCATAGTACATTTAATGTGAAGTTTTGTTATTTAATTTTTCATATCATTTCATTTATTCACACTAACCATTGAATATACTTTGGGTCAACTTTTTGACAATATTTTGGAGATTAAAAAAACATGTAATTGCGGGTCGGGTCACTCATCGATCTGATCGTAGGGTGCTTTAAGCAAGCCCTAGCAAGGCAAGTCTCTCTAAAAGGCTCCTCGGAACTAGCTAAGTAGTTATCGATGGGGAGAGCTCAACGGATATTTCCTGCGAGAGTTGGCTAAGGCAATTCTTGTCAAGAAAAATATCAGGACAAACATTAGGAATCAAAGTGGCTCTGACTAAGAATATGGATTGGATATACAATTGATGAAGTCTAAAACTAATATGACATCTCACCTTGGCAAAGCAATAAAGATTAACCAAGTTAAGAATATCACAGAGGGTGAACGACTAGAACATATTAACCCTACATATGATACTACTACCAAAGAGTACGGTAGAATAACCTCTATTAAGGATCATCACAGTATCTAATAATTGTTGGTCAAAAAGTAGTGCACTAGCCTTGAAGGTGATTAACCTTAAGTTTAGACCCAGAAAAATCCTTTAAGAGGGAAAACACCACACGCATCTGAGGTGAGTGGGATACTCTAATTCAGAACCATGTAGGCAGCTTAACTAAATAAAGTTGTTAAGGAAAGAAGCATTGCTTTCCCACACAAAAGAAAGGGTGTTATCAATTGAAGTTAACAATGGTCAGTAGAGACACTTAAGGAGGGTTGGTCAAAATAAAGTGTACCAACCACAGGGTATTTAGCCCTAAGGATAAGGTAAAAAGATATCCCTTAGTAGGGAATATACCACACTCATCTGAGATAAGTTGGATAAGTATATAAATTAAATTCATCCATGATGGATAGGACATGCTTGGATTGAATCCTATATGTAGCAGGTAACCAAAATTCATGCTAAGAAAGTGCATGGCTCTTTTTCACACAGATAATATCAATAAAAATTAACTCTTGTCAATCAAGATATTGTGAAGGTTTGCTGGGCAACATATGCTAACCTGAGAATGCTTGGTCGTAAAGCTAACCTTAGATCCTTTAAAAGAGGACATCTGCCACCCTCATTTAATATGACTGGGACAAACATATCTAGAACACTCATTTATGATGGGTGGCCGAAGAGAAAGGATAAGAGAAGTTTCTGACTTCTCTTGCATTTATTAATGGTTGCGCCAAGACCTCCTTATGAACTATATCGTCATCAACGAAGGTCTGTTGGGACCCGAGGGTCGACGATGAAGCATAGATCAAGTGGGTGAATAACCCTGAAGAAGGCTAGCCACTTTCTAAGGAAGGGCCACCTTGACTCGAAGGTCGATACATGAAGAGTAAAGATGGTGGGTAGAAACCCGCACAAAAGGTAAGTCAGCATCTGAAGGAAGGATTGTCTGGAGTTAAGGGTCGATGCATAAAGTGTAAAAGTGGTTGGTGGAAACCCTTGAGGAAGGACGCTATTCTCTTGAAGGAAGGGTCGTAATGTAAGAAAACCCCTGAAGAGCCATTATTTCGGAGGAAGGGCTACCATGCCCAAGGGTCGACACATGAAGCATGAGAAAAACAAGGTGGGTGAATACCCATACAAAAAGCAAGTTAACTTCCTAAGGAAGGATTGTCGCAACCCGAAGGTTGACGCAAAAAGAGTAATGGTAGCGGGCGATTACCCACACCAAGGCCGGCCATCTGCCGAACGAAGAGCTGTCATGACCTAAAGTTCAACGTGTATAGCGTAAAACAAAGTGGGTGGAGCCCACACAAAATGGTGAGTCAGCTTTCAAAAAAAGGACTGCCAGGATCCAACGGACAACACATGAAGCGTAAAGATTATGAATCACGAGCCGATTTCGATTTGAACTCATTCCATTCAAGCCGATCTCGAGTTAGCCCTAGCTTGGCTAGAAATCGGCTTGTTAATAGCCCTAGTTATGTATGGACTACCAACATCTTTCAGTGGTTAACAACTTCTTTAAGGAGTTGACTAGAGTGAGAATGTATGATTTTATAAAAGGGTTAATAGTTGAGTATAGTATCCTGACAATATTATGGTCAACTAGTAACCATTATGCGATGAAGAGAAGATTGAGGATAGAATGTCCTACATGATGAGTGGATTATTTTGTTTTGCGAGTGGTACAAGCTCACTAAAAACTTCAAATTCATTACTCATAAAAGCCCTGAGAAGTTGAGATCTTCATAAGTTGTAGATATCATTATTAGTTCAATGGATATTGAAAGTAAAAATGTGAGAGGACGAGGTTGTGATCCTGATTGGGCAGAAGGGGATGGCTTAAAAAAGAAAAACACAATGGTGATTGATCCATACTGTACAGGAAGAATAAATTGCTAAACAAGTTTCTCGAATATGGTGAAGAAATAGAAAAAGAAGAAGAAATGGAAAAGATAAATAACAAGGCCAAATCTGGGTATTCTCATTTATTTTTAATTTCATTATATAAGGCACTGCGGTACAAAATGCATGAGGCAATGGAGAAATGAGAAGTCAATTATTCAATTAATATATAGATCTTATGATCCCTTCGATGATGGTGGCAGAGATGGAAAGATTGATTGACAATTATCTCTCATCCTATAGAATACTGGGAGATCGAGGGAGACATTTTAATTTTTCTGGATGGGAGAGAGAGAGAGGCGGACATCTGAACAAATTTGAGCACAATTGTAAAAACACATGTGCATGGTCGAAAACTTATGACCCTGTAAGTGAGTAAACTCAACAAATAAATCAAGATGGCTGGTATTCAGGCAACACATTAATGATGTAATATGGTGCGGTGAATCTGTTATTAATTTCGCTCACATCCAAAATTTTATTCGTCTAAGCACAGTCGGCATGCATACAAAACGCAAGTTCGTTCTTAAATTGTTGATAAGATATCAATTCAATCCACGAGGGGGCTATGTGGACCGCTGGACTAAGAAGCAAAAGCATCATATTTCACTGCATTACCGGGACGCCACAGGATGTCGTGGCCATATATATGCCACGTCATCTAATACGTTAAAAATGACACGTATCCGTTAATTAGAGGCCAATCTTGATCGCGGGTGGGGCCTTCGGCAACTTATCCCTATGGAGTTTCAACTAAAAAATGATTATCGAAAATAGGAGTATTTTTTTTCTTCAAAATTTCTCTCATTTTTCTATCGCTGAATCCGCAATGATGGCAGCGGCGGCGCTTTCTCTGCTTCCAATCTCTCTTAGCCGGCCGTCTTCGCAATATAGTTCCAAAAAGGTGACAAAATCCTTCACCCTACAATGAAATAGCGACTTACAGTGAAACATGGTCTGCTCTTAAGTTCATTAAGGAGAAATCTAGGTTTTTGAAAAATCAAAGAGTTATTTATTCAGAACTCAACGGTATTTGTATTAAAATTTGGACGATATAATTTCTGAAGGATTTATTTCAATGGTTATTGGATTTTAGTTTTTCTTTTTTGGACGGGTTGTTTGACTCAAGAGGAGAGCAATAGGCTCTTTGTTGAGCGAGAATGGCTTTCTATTTTTATTCCTGTTAAACAATTGTTTGGTAGTGAGACGAAGCCTAAATTTATTCTGGAGATTTGGTCGTCTTTGAAGTATTTACTTATCAAAGAAGCCTGAAACTTGTACGATGTATGTGTGTGTTTCATTATTTTAATGGCGAGAAAGTAGCCTTCTCTATTTAAGAAGACAATTTAGCTAGACAACTTGTGTAGGGACTTCTTTTTAATAGTCTAAAATGAAAGAGAAGATTCTTTTATTTTCCTTAAATGTACATGAAAACTCAACTGTGACAATTGGACGTATCCATCTCATTATTTGAGGCTTCATGATTTCCCTTCCATGCAGGTTTTAATGAATTAGTCATCCAATTAAGCTTAAAAGCTTGATATCTTTCTTGTTTTCTTGTATTACAAAAATTTGGGATAAACACGTATTGTTCTATAACGCTTTAGGGACCTGTAAAAAATCGCAAAATGAACTAGTTCTTATGTTTATTTTATTATATATATCTTTTCAATAGTATCTCAGAGTTGAAAGCTATGCAGGGTGGCTTTATTAGAGATGAATTCAGCATATTTGCTGTTTATAGAAAAGAAGGAGATAGTGGTTCGCAGAAAAGGAGCAGTTGGGGTGCAATATTTGATGTTGAGGATCCAAGGCCTAGAAAGCTACCTTTCAAAGGAAGGTACCTGAAAGCAAATCAAGCCTTAGAGGTTGCTAAGCTTGATATACAATACTGTGATTGGAGAGCCCGTCATGATCTACTAACTATCGTGCTCCTCCATGATAAGGTGTTTATCCATCTTTACATAATGATGATTGATTATGCTTTTAGTTATTTCATTCATCTTAATTATGTGGAATGTTGATGCATCTTTCTCCCATGAAATCTAAGCAACAGTGGGGATTTCATCTGGGTGGTTATTAATAGCAAGTTTTTTTCTCTGCTAATGTTAGTCTCCATTTAATTTGAAATACTTGAGTGAAATATTTCCAATAGCCATTGATGCTATGTCGGGGTAGAAACATAGCAGTCTTGTTGCTTCTAAAAACAAAGAAAGTGATTTTCTTAAGTTTCAACGAACACAAGAAGCAGCATTCCCAAGAATATCCAATTTCAGCAGAACAAAATAATTAAAGAAATAATTGACACATCATCAGATCCTGCGCTCATCATCTGTTCAGAAGCATCACAGATCAGAAACACCCTTAACTACATAATTGTTCATGACTGATTTGCAGAGTTGTTGCAACAACTAAAATAGCAGATTTGCAGGTTGTTGACGTTCTGAACCCTTTAGCACGTGAGTTCAAATCTATTGAAACCTTGAAGAAAGAGCTTGCAGATTTACAGAAAGAACTAGCAAAGGCTCACAATGAGGTTCGTTTGGATTGTTGCAATCAATCTTTTTTTTTATTTGGGCTAATCCGCTCATTTAATAGTGAGAAAGCAAATTAATTATTTTTGTTCCATTTCTACAATTATTGGCTCAGGTTCACATATCAGCAGCTAGAGTATCTTCTGCGTTGGATAAGCTGGCATATATGGAAAGCTTAGTAAATGACAAACTTTTGCAAGAAAGAATTTCAAAAGAATCCAACTCTGATACCGTGCCACTTGCTGCGAACACTTCATCTTCTCCAGTAGCTATTAACCCAGAGTCTCATAGAAGAAGCCTTGATGTTTCTGGACCTGTGAAACCTTATCACCCCAACCTTAAGAACTTCTGGTATCCAGTTGCTTTTTCTACTGATCTTAAGAATGATACAATGGCGAGTACATACTTCCTTTTCCATGCTATGATAAAAGGTTCTCTGAATAACAATTGCTTTTCTTAATTTGTTGACTTGTCCTCCTTCAGATCCCTATTGATTGTTTTGAAGAACCATGGGTCATATTTCGGGGCAAAAATGGGAATATTGGTTGTGTTCAGAATACGTGTGCACACAGGGCTTGCCCTCTTCACCTTGGATCTGTGAATGAGGGACGGATTCAATGCCCTTATCACGGTAAGTTCTTGGCATGATCTAGTATAATTTTTAATTGATTTTGCACTACTCTTTGTTTAATTTGTCTAAAAAAAAGGTTGAATAAAATGCCCCAGGCAGCATCTTTAATTTTCATCATTATTTCTGTTCATTTACGTATATAATCATCTATTTATTTTTAATTATTTAATTTCTTTTGAATTCTATGAAAGCAAAAAGATTACTTGTTCTTTGCTCTATTTATATTTATTTTGCGCTCTTTTGTTCGGGAGGGGAAGAGATAAAGCTGGTAGAGTGCGCATTTAATTGTTGATTATAATTAACCTGAGGGCCGTATGGGTGTTGTGGGAGTGGTGGGAGGATGAGTTGTGAGGATTAGAAGGGCGTTCCAATACGAAGGGTTTTTTAATGCTTCTACAATTAGCTAAGAGGAGATTAATTAGAAGGGCGTTCCAATACGAAGGGTTTTTTATTGCTTCTACAATTAGCCAAGAGGAGATTTGTTAAACATATATAGTTTCTCTTAAGAACATTGGAGTGCGGTGGAAACAAGTATATATAAAACTTATTGATGACCTTCAAGATCTAGATACAGCTTGAAGTTGCTTTTGATATCAGGTTTTTTCAGTGAAAATTTACAGACACCAACATGCATTTTAGAGATTTCATCTTAATTTTAAGATATATGGTGTAATATGCCAAATTTTTCCAGGTTGGGAGTACTCCACTAATGGAAAATGTGAGAAGATGCCATCAACCCGCATGCTCAATGTGAGCATAAGATCATTGTCATGTTTTGAGCAAGAAGGGATGATCTGGATTTGGCCAGGTGATGAACCTCCTAAGGCGACTCTTCCTTGCCTGCAACCTCCTCCAGAATTTCAGGTTCATGCAGAGGTAATAAAGTTGTAACATAATGTGTAGGGAAATTTCTCTAGCTCAGCAAAGAAAAACAGAGCAGAAAATGATTTAATATAATTTATTAAACAAGCATTAGTTGGTTGGAATAAATTTCTGAATTATGAAATTTTACTGAAGTTAAACTTAAATCGCTGATATTACATAATTCCATTTTTCCAGATCGTTATGGAGCTCCCAGTGGAACATGGACTTCTCTTGGACAATCTCTTAGATTTAGCCCACGCTCCTTTCACTCATACTTCAACTTTTGCTAAGGGATGGAGTGTTCCAAGGTATGCTTCCTCCTTAATAATTATCCCGATCATTAATTTACATGTCCCACACTACTTGGAGTACAATAGCAGTTACCCTATGCGCATCAAAACATCACAATTTTGATAGCTCGATATGAATTAGAAAAAAAATTTCACTGCTAAAAAGTGAGGAACCAGGAACCAAAACGAAATTGCTTGTAAAATTTTATTATCATGGGAGCACTGTTTATATATAGTCTCTTAGAAATTAAGGCAGTAATTCTTCACAATCAAGGCATAGTGAATTTTACAGCAATGGCAACATGGTGTAGCTATCAATTGAGTGAATCTTATAAATATCTTGTATTTTCACCTGCTGATTCTTTTCTATTATATAATTCTTCTGTTTGAAATAAGCTTACTTACATTTTAAATCTAGTAGTATAGTTTATTCTATTTCTTGGATTGTGTTTACTTTTTTTATTGCCCCTTCATAATGTAAATGATTTTTAATATAACATTCTTCATGGCATCGTCCTATAACTTAGTAGACCTCCATGTTAGCTTTTCACCATCAACCGGGCCTAAGAAGTTTCATTCGACATAGATCATGATTTTTTTTATTTCCTTTGCACATTATAAAATGATTCATATTGCACCATTCTTCTTGGAATCCTCCAATATTTTAATTGTTATCCTTATTAGCATTTTCTCAATCTACCCAGCCAAGAAGTCTCATCTTATTCCATAAAATATAACCTGTGGGAGAGCTTATCTTTTGAAGTTTTAGGTAACCCTTTATTATTATTATTATTATCATTTTCAATAAATTATTTTTGAAGGGATATGTTTACTAAACTAGTATAACTTTTGCTCTTCTTTTTTACTCCTCACAGCTTGGTCAAGTTCCTCACACCAGCATCAGGACTTGAAGGATATTGGGATCCCTACCCAATTGACATGGAATTCCGCCCACCCTGCATCGTCCTTTCAAAAATAGGTATCTCAAAACCTGGAAAACTGGATGGACAGACTACAAGAGAGTGCTCAACACATCTGCACCAGCTTCATGTTTGTTTGCCCTCCACAAGACAAAAAACGAGGTTGTTATATAGAATGTCGCTTGATTTTGCTCCCATATTAAAGCACATCCCCTTCATGCATATCTTGTGGAGGCACTTTGCTGAGAAGGTGAGTTTTGTTACATTGATGCCATGGTCCTTTTTTTTGTTTGAAAAATAAGAGAAGTTTTATAATTCTTTTTTCTAGGCTGGCCTATACCCTGGCCTACTTAAATGATTTGAGTTTCTTTTAACTGGCAAAAGTTTCATAAGATGACCTGTAGATATAGTTAATATAGAAGCATAAGTTGAAAGATTAAAAAAAATGTCTAGAGGTTGTGCAAAAATTTATACAATTATAATCTAAATCACATTTTGCACTTGACTAGAATGAATAAAAAAAAAATGATACATAAAGACGATCCTGAGCGGTTGGACGGTAACAACATCTAACTAGGATAAGGCTATTGATGTCGACGCTTCCTCTTCCCATTATGCATAATTTGTTTCATTAGTAGTCAATGTCAACTTGTGCGCATTTTTTTCGTTGTTCAAGGTATTAAATGAGGACTTGCGGCTTGTTGTGGGGCAGCAAGAGCGAATGATAAATGGAGCAAATATCTGGAATCTGCCTGTAACATATGATAAGCTTGGGGTAAGGTATAGATTTTGGAGAGATGCAGTTGAGAAAGGAGTCAAGAAATTGCCATTCACTAAACCAGAAATATGAGAATGATGCGCTTAAGTGGTAGTAATCAATCTTCTCCCTGGCCATCATTTTTTTGGGAAATAACTTGGATAGCTATGCAGAGAGAGCTCCAGAATCGTTCCGTTGGCCGAAAGAGCATTTGATGATCCAGAGTAACAGGCTTGGAAGCTTTCTTTTTGTGTAAGTTGTAAATTAGATGCAGTACTAAGGCATGGAGTATAAACTCTGCCTTATTGTGTTCTTTATGTGCAAAGCTAATCTTGATTTTTTTTTATTTTTTTATTTTTGTAGCATCATTTTCCTTTCAATAAATAAAATCTAGCTCAAAGTTGTTTTGTTCCCTTTTTTATCAAGTAGCACTCTCCTCTAGATATCATAAAATAAGGAGTTACGTAATATTTGCAACTTAAAATAATCTCTCTATAGCTTGCCTAATCATTTACCTAAAGACTGCCTCAAATTGATTTGATTGATTTAATATTTTTCGGGAACTAAATTAGTTTTAATTATGCTTAATCTAATCTTAAAGTGAGCCATATTGGAGTCTAATTTGATATGACAATTTTTAATCAAATTTATTATCTTTCAAGACGGAAATGTTTAAATGTTTGAAATACTTATGTCTGAATGAGATGAATGGATTCTTTTGCCCTTAAAACTATTTTTGAAAATAAATAAACTTTTATTTTTGGTGAACGATCTGATTTTTCTCAACGATTGAAAATATTTTTGATACTCTTTCATCCAGCATCTTAGAGTTTCAATATGACACTTCCATACTAAATTTTATTTGAATATGACCAATAATCACTCTTGATTTTAGATTGATTTACTGACAAATGCTTTGGAATATTTGATAGCATATAAATTTTGAAGTATATTTGTATACTCAAATATGATCTGCACGGACCTTAAGACAATCCAGCAGTCGACCACCTTGTTTCAACAACCAGACAAATATTCTCCCTCTACCACCACACTTCAGTCGACCGACTAAGTTCTCTATCTCGATCTCCTCACCTTAGTCGACCAAATAAGTTTTCTCGCACGGTCATCTCATTTCAGTCGGCTGACAAACATGAATATGAAAGTCTGCGTCAATCTCGAGATGACCCAATATTCAAAATAAAAAGGACTAAAATATTCTTCACTTCTCTATTTCAAAACATAGCCAAATATGTAATTTTTGTTCCTCTTACCCCTCTTATATTAGGAGGGCTTCATAATGAAAAAGGGGTTGGGGACCGCCGCTCATTTGCAACTTCTAATTTTATAGTATAAAATGAGTCCACGAGCCCAGGAACACCCCATTTCCCTCTGACCTGGGGAAGTCCTCTTCTCTCTCTCTCTCTCTCTCTCATTTCTCTCCCTCCTCTCTCTCTAAATATAGTGTATAACATAAGTATATCACTGCCCTTGCCAAAGCACACCCACCGACATATTTGGTTTCAACATCTTAAAAGGTGCGGTGAGCGTAGATCGTGTTGTGAACAAGAAGATGAGCTAACTGTTGGTGCTCGGAACTCATCATCCACTATCACCACAAATTTCCGTCATGTCATAATGTATGTCTTTTGATTGAAAGAAGTCGCCACTTTGTTTATCATTTTTTAATGCCCTAATCTCTAGTTAACTTATTCTCTTGAATCATGTTAAAGATTTCAAGATTTTAAGAAACTAAGAGAAGGGAGGAAAAGGGCTAAAAATAGAGAACATGAGAAAAGAAATGTCGAAAGGATTTTTCATTGCGGTAGTCATTATAGGGAAATGGTTTCTCATATAAGGAAAATCACATGAAAAATAAATAACCAGAGATTTTAGGTTTATCACCTATTCCGAATTCTTTGTTTTCCTATAGGAGCAAGGTCCTATAGTTAATTACACCTTAGGCAATTTTAGATTTACCTAAGAAAACTCCTGATTAATGTTGACACTCGTTCTTCTAAAATTCCAAGGTCATCAAATATATTATTCCTAGGGTAATAGATTTCTAAGAATCTGAATCTACCATAAAGGTTTTGTTTTGTTTTGTTTATTTATGTCGTATCATGTCGTCAAGTCGTTTAATTTTGTTTTGTTTTTTACATGTCGTGTCATTTTGTTTATGTCATGTTTTGTTGTCTTGAAATTCTGCTTCTGAATGTCATCCTACAAAACAGAGTTAGCTCACCCTATAACATGCAAAGGAAATCTAAAGCGAAATTTTTGTTTTCATGTCCTGATAAACCTACAAAACAGAACACGATTAGCATAAAATCATGTTTTTAGATTTATTAATTTTAGTTGGTCATTTAATTGGTTGAATAAATTTTAAACGATCCAGTTAAGATGTCTATGGTTCTGTCGTCCGGGTACCATAAAAATATTCAGATTTACTTAGTCCGAAAGATGTTTAAACCAGAACCAGAAGATCAGAACCAGAAGATTCTTGTCAGAACCAGAAGATTCTTGTCAGCAACCACAGATTGCGTCGTCCAAAAAATCTTCATAAATCTGAACAGAGATGTTCGAGTTTAATTTATAATGCCTTTTAAGATGAATTTTATGTCTTTTATGTCGGCGAGTTGGATTTTTATGATGTCACTTGTTTTAGGTCATATGTCGATTATACCTAAAAAAGTATAATTGAAACCTAAGATCTAGGTTTAATGTCGATGAAACTTAAGTTATGAAGATGATTTAATTTCAATGTAGGTAGTAATTTCAATGTAGGTAGAACTAAGTCCAATGTGGGTAGGATCTAAATTGTTTTAGGTTCAATGTTGGTAGAACCTAAATATTAAAAATGGTTTAAGTCCAATATAGGTAGGAATTAAGGTGTTTTTGGTTCAATGTAGGTAGAACCTAAAGATTCAATTGGTTTAAGTCAATGTCATTAGGATTTAAGATGGTTTAGGTTCAATGTAGGTAGAACCTAACGTTTGAAATAGTTTAAGTCCAATGTGGGTAGGATCTAAATTGTTTTAGGTTCAATGTTGGTAGAACCTAAATATTAAAAATGGTTTAAGTCCAATATAGGTAGGAATTAAGGTGTTTTTGGTTCAATGTAGGTAGAACCTAAAGATTCAATTGGTTTAAGTCAATGTCATTAGGATTTAAGATGGTTTAGGTTCAATGTAGGTAGAACCTAACGTTTGAAATAGTTTAAGTCCAATGTGAGTAGGAATTAAGGTAATTTAGGTTCAATGTAGGTAGAACCTATGGATTGAAATGGTTTAAGTCCAATGTGAGTAAGACTTAAGGTAATTTAGGTTCAATGTAGGTGGAACCTAAGGATTGAAATGGTTTAAGTCCAATGTCAGTAGGAATTAAGGTAATTTAGGTTCAACGTAGGTAGAACCTAAAGATTAGAAATGGTTTAAGTCCAATGAAAGTAGGACTTAAGGAATTTTAGGTTCAATGTAGGTATAACCTAAGGATTGAAATGGTTTAAGTCCATTGTGAGTAAGACTTAAGGTAATTTAGGTGCAATGTAGGTAGAAACTAAGGTTATTTTAGGTGCAATATTGAACCTAAGATTTGAAATAATCTTAAGTTCAGTATGGTTCGGACTTAGAGTTGGGTCGTTTAAGTTCACTGTAAGTTGAACTTAGAGTTTAAGTTATTTTAGGTTAACTTGAGTTAAACCTAAGAGTTTGAGTGGGATTAGGTTCGAGTTTGGTTGAACCTGAAAGTTTTAATTAAGTTAGGTTCAAGTTGGGTTGAACCTAACAGTTTGAGCTTGATTAGGTTCATGTTGGGTTGAACCTATGCATTGACTTAGGTTCAAGTTGGATTGAACCTAAGGGTTTGAGTTAACTTAAGTTCAAGTTGTGTTGAACCTAAGGGTTTGAGTTGAGTTAGGTTGAATTTGGGTTGAACCTAAAGTTGACGTTGACAGGCTCAATTTGAGTTGAACCTAAGTTAAATGTTTGATTTAGGTTCAGTATATGTTGAACCTAAGGTCTGTTTAACTTGGGTTCAAGTTGGGTTGAACCTAATTTTGAAGTTGAGTTAGGTTCAATTTGAGTTGAACCTGAAGTTAATGTTGAATTAGGCTCAATTTGAGTTAAACCTAAATTAAACGTTTGATTTAGGTTTAGTATATGTTGAACCTAAGGTTTGGTTAACTTGGGTTCAAGTTGGGTTGAACCTAAGTTTGAATTTGAGTTAGGTTCAATTTGGGTTGAACCTAAAGTTAAGTTAGGTTGAACCTAAAAGCTCAATTTGAGTTGAACCTAAGTTAAAGGTTCGATTTAGGTTCAGTATATGTTGAACCTAAGTTTTGATTAACTTGGGTTTATATTGGGTTTTAAGCATTGAACTTTCCTGTTGACTATTTCGAGAGGACTAGAAAAGGAACCCTCATCATTATAAATTCTAAACTCTTCTTTGTTCAACTTGAAGTTCCACATATTGGTCCTAACCTTTAGCACTTAGTAGGTCGAAATGGCAGAGCTCAAAGAGAGTCCCCATAGGACTACTTGGCCTTAGAAGTAACCCTGAGAGGTGTGATCTTGGTTGGTCTCTCATACACACTTGCACATTACACTTCCACTCACTAGCCTTAGCCCAAACATGCTTAACTTTGATCCCTTAACCCTTTTGGGAGACTCATGTAGATGGTCTCCTAGACCCACTAGCCCAAGGCTATGGTTTAGTTAAAACCAATACATGGAGGACCCAAAGTTGGGAATTCTAATGGTCAATGGCTCAAGTATGGTGATTGACACCCCAATTTTACCAAAATACCCAATTTAGCCTTTTGCATCCAAATCTACCCAAATTACTAAATTACTCTTGAAATCCTAAAATTGGCCAAAATTCCTAAAATTACCCAAAATACCTAATTTTTTTGAAAAATAATCTCAAACCATTTGAAACTACGTAAATTGTCCAAAACACCTCAAAATTTCTAAAATTACCAAAATGCCCCTCATTTGGCCAAAATTACCAAAATACCTTTGGTGACCCAAATTGTCCCAAAATCTCAAAATCATTTAAAATATCCCCAAAATCAATTTGAACCATTCTTTTGAGCTCAATTTGACCACTTTGACCCATTTTGACCAAAAGCACCAAATGCCTTTAAAGGCCCAATTACCTCGATTCACCCCCAATGTCCACTAATTTGATCCCAATCTTCCCTTATTTCAATTATAAACTCAAATTC